CTAAAAGCTCTACTCTTTTACTCCCCTCCTCCCACATTTTATGTTTTTGATATCATATTTAACCTCTTTTGTGTGTGTGTGTATCCATTAACTTCTTAACTTGAAAATAGATAATTTTAGTACTTTTGTCTTTTGACCTTCATAGGTGGTTGATCTGCTACCTTTGCTGCATATTTGCCTTTATCAGTGATTTTTTTATTATTATTATTTTGATAATTTTCTTATTCCTGTTTGTGGTCTTTTCTTTTCCACTTAAATAATTCCCTTTATCACTTCTTGTAAGGCTAGTTTATTGGTGATAAACTCCTTTAGTTTTGGCTTGTCTGGAAAACTCTTTATCTCTCTTTCCATTCTGAATGATAATCTTGCTGAGTAGAATATTCTTGGCTGTAGGTTTTTTCCTTTCTGCCCTTTAACATATCATACCACTCTCTTCTAGCCTGTAAGGTTTCTGTTGAGAAGTCAGTTGATAGCCTTATGGGGTTTCCATTGTATGTAACTTCTCTCTTGCAGCTTTTAGGATTCTCTCTTTGTCTTTAATTCTTAACATTTTACTTATAATGTTTCTTGATGTAGGCCTCTTTGAGTTCATCTCATTTGGTGCTCTCTGTGCTTCCTATACCTGAATGTTTGCTTCCTTCCTTAGGTTAGGAAAGTTTTCAGCTATTATTTCTTCTTCTCTCTCCTCTCCTTCTGGGACACCTATAATATGGATATTACTGCATTTGATGTTGTCCTAGAGGTCCATTAGACTGTCCTCATTCTTTTTAATTCTTTTTTCTTTTTACTGTTCAGCTTGGGTGATTTCTTATAGTCTTTTGTCCAGCTCACTGATCCATTCTTCTGTGTTATCTACTCTGTTATTGATTCCCTCTAGTGAAATTTTCATCTCCATTATTGTATTCTTCATTTCTGATTTGTTCTTTTTTTATATTTTCCAATTCTTTGTTGAAGTTCTCACTGTATTCATCTATTCTTCTCCTAAGATCAGTGAGCATTCTTATGACTATTAGTTTTTACTCTTTGTAAGATAGATTGTTTATCTCTGTTTCATTTAGTTCTTTTTCTGAGGATTTGTCCTGCTTCATTATTTGGAACATATTCCTTTGTCTCCTCATTTTGCCTGTTTTTTTGTGCTTATATCTGTTTTTGGTAGATGAGCTATGTCTCCCAATCTTGGAGAAGTGGCCATGTAAGAGATGCCTTATGAGGCCTAGCAATGTGCTTCCTTCCCATCACCAGTTCTAAATGTTCCAGGAGTGTCCCCTGTGTGGGCTACGTGTGTCCTTCTGTTGTGGTAGGGTTGCTCTTACTTCAGGCCCATGGGAAGGCTAGGCTGGCCCTGGCCAGCTGGATGTAAGGCTCAGCTATGTGCAGCTACTATGGCTACTTTGGTCCCTTTATTTGGTGAATGAAACCCCAGCACAGTTGGCTGCAAGGCCCAATAGCACATTCCTGCTGCATTTTTTCTGCTAAGTGAGTAGGCCCCCAATGTGGCTGTTTATTAGGCTCAGAGGCTCACAATTGCTGTAGGCCTCCAGCCTCCAAGGCTGTTGTCAGCTCTCTCAGTAGTGTTGCTGGGTGGGGCTGGGCCCAAGTGTAGCAGCACACAATTGTTTCAGGCCGTGGAAGGTGGGGCAGATCCCCTAGGTGGCTTAAGATTGCTCCTCACCATGAAGCACCACAGCTAGAATCTGGCTTGTTTCCTCTCCAAAAAGGTATTTCTGCCTCTTTCACCTCAGTCAGCTCTGCCCCTTGTTGTGGGGGTTCTTTTTATCCAGTTTCTGGTTCTCTCTCAGGGGTAACTGTTCCAAAGGTAGCTGAACTTTTGTTGTGTCTGTGGGAGGAGGTGAATTCAGAGTCCTCCCATGCCACTATCTTTCCAGCAATCCCCTGAAATTCTTGTGTTAATCATAATATTCAAACTGTTACCATTTTCTTTACTCAGTGTTGTAAAACTGGCATACAGGCTGGAGTAATGATTGTTCAGTGACTTGAGATGTTCGATCAGTCTTACAACCTTGGGCAAATTTCCTTTTCTCATAAAGACTATGCCAAAGAACACAACTTAAAATGAATCTTTTCAAATATTGAATTGTCATCATTGTTACTGTCCCCTTTCTATTACTGTAAACAATGTGAGCATGAGGAGTCATGTAAAAGCACATTACAATGTTTGTGCAACAATCTAAAATTATTTGAAAAATTACAAAACCTATGAAATGCTTCTTCTGTTAATGTATACCTCTATGCTTGTCTGAGTATTTCCCACCAACATCAATAATTGGGCCAATAAATGAGATAAAAGCTTAGCACTGAGGGACATGATAGACCCAGGGCAGGCAGCAACCACTAAGGCACCATGGGGCAATATTTTGATCATCAATGTTTTCTATTGAAAGATTACTGATCAAAAGGGGGAAAATGATAAAAAAAAAAAAATTGAAAGCAATAGAATATATTGGAGTACATGTGGAAGTCATTTGGTGTAAAACTAATTTGGCCTGACCTTGTTTCTCCAAAAGGGCCTGATGTGGCCTGTTGAGCGTGCATTGTACATCTGCTTTAAGCATTTACTATGTCGCAAAGACAAGAATGATTCCCTTAAAGATAGGGATGTAGCTTCCCCCCATATCAGCATTTCCTTAATAATGAACATCTCTTCCTGGAAACCAAGGATTAATTGCTGACCTGCTGTGCTCACCTTGTGACCACTGACCTGCTGACCACTGACCCACTGTGCCAGCTAAGCATCTCATGACAGTAGTACAAGAGGTGTTGCTGTCATATGTGATGTACGCACTTTGTTCCAAATGATACATAACTACTCTGTACACCCCACTTCTTTGGTGCTATTGTCACCTGGGCTATACTCCTCAAATATAGTTCACAATAAACTTACTCCATTTTGATTTATAGATTGATTATGGATTATTTGCATTGACAGGTTAAAGCAATTGTACAATGTATGTTTGACAGGCCATAAGTCAGGCTTCTTTAGTTCAATCTGAATCAGTTTTGAACCTGAATAATTACCCCATGTTCCTCAATATGTGAAAATCTCTTGTCAGTTCCCTGTCACATGGCAGGTGCTCAAAAAATACTTGATGAATACATGAATGAATTTAGTCTCAAGTTAGGAAGACAGAGACTAGGGAACTGAACATATTTTTAAAAGAACACAATGTTTAGAACACAATCAATAAAACCTCTTATGATTCTCACAGAGAAATCACCAACAAATCTGTCTAAATCCAAAAATTAAAAAAAAATAAAGATAATTTGGCAGTATTCAGGATTAAATTTTTTAAATTTCAGATAATAGAATTATTAGATAACTACAAAATAAGCATGGTTGAAACATTTAAAGCTATGAAAGGTGGAATTAAAATGTAAGAAAGAAATATCTAAACAAAAGAAAATTAGAAAACCTCTTGCAAAAGCTAAAAAATATAATCTTTGCAATTACAACTAGAAAGAGCTCATGTAATGGTCATTTGGAATAATACTCTTGCTGAGAACAAGGAGGCAAGCTTCACAAAAGACTCTAAAAACTTAACAGTAGGAAAGTATTGTAGAACTTCCAGTGAAGAATTAAAGGCCAACTTCAGTTCAAGATCAGACACGTAAATAGCATGGAAGTCATCACTCTCACTTTTACAAGAAAAAACTTAAATATTGAAATTCAATGACTTTTATTGGACCCATCATATTATAGAAGTCACAGAGCAAATCACCACCCTGAAATCTCCAGAAGGCAGGGAAATCAAAAGTCATAGTAGAGACTGCTTACCTGCAGCAGAAGCCATTGGAGCCATAAAATGATGGGGAGTTACACAGTAATTGGACAAATTGCTAGAGGCTGAGTATGCACTAGCATGAGATTGAGAACTCCTGAAGGCCTTAATTTTTAGGGTGAGAAGAACAAAATTTCCTGGCTTCTACCTCCCTTCTATGACCCTATCATATTCTCAAAGTGAACAGTAGACAAAGATCCTCTTTTGGTGCTGGCAGGAAAAGGGGAAATGTAACCATTGTGAAATATGCCTGAGCATCTCCAAAAGAAGGCCTACTGTTCAGGGTAAAAGACCTTAGTAGATTCCACTCCCATGGAGGGGAAGAGAATTTCTCTGACTCCCCTCCTCTCTAGACTTTCCAACTCACCTAAGGTTGTGGAAGGGGAGCCTTAAAACACTTGTGAAAGTCATAGCCCAGGGACACAGGCCCACTGAAAGAATGAGATGTACTCCAAAGATTAAATGCTTCCCTTCCCTGTAACTGGGCTCCTGTAATAAAAATGGATGACAGCTGAAAGAGCTGCAAGACACAGACTCTGAGGAGAAAGACTTATAGAAGGCCAAAATGTCAACAGGAGAGACAAAAACAATTACCCTGGAAAATTTTAAACCTACAGGTTTTACAGTTACAGCAATCATTAAACATAGCCTAACTCCTAGTCAGGTTAACATAAATCCTCACATTTAAGGCCTATTTGCCTCAGTTCTTATTACCCAGTACATCATGTCCAGCTTTCACTAACAACAATAAAACCTACATGGAATTCTAAAAGGCAAGGGGAAAAAAAAACAAAACACAGCCTGAAGAGACAAAGCAAACTTCAGAACCAGATACAGATATGACACAGATATTGGAATAATCTGACAGAAAATTTAAAGTAACTATAGCTAATATGTTAAGGGCTTTAATGGAAAAAGTAGACAATATGCAAAAACAGACAGATACTGTAAGCAGAGAGATGGAAACTCTAAGAAAGAATCAAAAGAAAATGATAGAAATCAAAAACATGAGTAAAAATTTTCACATATTGAGGTATATGGGTTAGCTACTCTGGTTTAAATATGATTCAACCTGAAATAAAGAAGCCTGACTAATGGCCTATCAAACATACATTGTACATCTGCTTTAACCATTAAGATAAGGATGCATTAAGCATTATCTCAAAGTGAAATAATGAACCCTTTGAAGATAAGAATGCATACTACCTTTCCTGCCAGGCCAACACAGTACTCCTGAAGATAAGTTTCCTTTCCTGGACATCAAGGTCATGTTGACCTGCTAATCTGTAACTAAATATCTCTGAACATTTGATGAGTGTGTATCCTGGGCATGTTTGATGTATGCTCTTTGTTCTAAAAAGGTCTAAAACTGTACTGAAAACCATGCTTCTCTGAAATTCTTTCTTCCTTTGTGAAGACTGCCTTCCCAGGCTAGTCCTCAGCTTGGCTCAAGTAAATCTCACCTTATCTGTCTTATCTCTAGATTGGTTATTGGTTATTTGTGATGACAAACATTGTAACAGAAATGAAAAATGTTTTTGAGAGTTTCCTCAGGCTGCCATAACAAATTTCTAAGAACATGGCTGCTTAAAACATAAATTTATTTTCTCACAGTTCAGGGGGCCAGATGTCCAAAATCAAGGTTCATGAGAGTTGGTTCCCTTCTGGATACCCTGGGGAGAAAACTGTCTCATTCCTCTCTCCTAGGTTCTGGTGGTTGCCAGAAATCCTTGGTGTCCCTTCCCTTGTAGACACATTTCTCTAATCTCTTTCTCAGTCTTCACATGGTCTTATCTCTGTGTGTCTCTCTGTGTCTTTTTCTCTCTCATATAAGGACATTCTCATTCGAGTTAGGGCCCATTCTAATTCAATATGATCTCATCTTGATCCGTACCATAATTACACTTGCAAAACACCTATTTCCATATAAGATCATATTCTGAGGTTCCAGTTTGAAATGATAAGAATTACATTGTACTTCTCTTCAAAAATCATGCAAGCAAGAAGTGAGTGGAGTGAAACATTTAAAGTGTTGGAAGAAAAAAAGCACCAAGAAACAATTCTATATCCAGCAACATTAATCTTCAAAAATGAAAGAGAAAAAAAGCTTTCTTTGACAAACAAAAACTGAGGGAATTCAGCATAAGTTGATCTGTCATGAAAAAATGTTAAAATAATTTCTTCAAGGAGAAGCAAAATGATACAGATAAGAAACTAGGATTTACAGAAAGAATAGAAGAGCATCTATTTAAATTTAAATCAAGGTAAAATAAAATATTTTATTTTTACTATTCTTAAAAGATGATTATTTAAACTACAAATAGCAAAAATGTATTCTGCCATTATAGCATATGTAAGTGAAATGAATGAAAACAGTACTACAAAGGATGTAAGGGAGAAATTAGACAAACTCTATTATCAGGTACCTGCACTACACAAGAAGCTGTATAATGTTCTTTGAAAATGAGCATGGATTGGTTAAAAATGTGTATTGCTAACTCCAGGGCACCAACTACTTTTTTAAAAAGAGGTACAATTAATATATAAAGAGAGGAGACAAAATGTAATCATATACAGTGCTCAATTAAAAGCATAGAAGGCAGAAAAAGACTGGAAAAAAAAGAAAACCAAATCAATGAATGAAAGAAGTTACAAATATTATAAGTATTAATCCACATATATCAATAATCACTTTAAATATGAGTAGTTTAAATACAACAATTAAAAGGCAGATGTTGTCAGAATGGATTGAAAAATACTCAATTTTATCTTGTCTAGTGAACACTCACTTTAAATTTAAAAACTCATGGGTTAAAAGTAAAAGATGAGAGTGACGCCAGCATCACGGCTGAGTGAGCTGTTACCTTTGTCTCCACCATCTAAGTTACAACCAGTGGGACATCGAATGATCAACAAAGAAGCCCCTGCACAGCACAGCCGAATGCCAGAGAGATCGGTGCATATATATATCTGCAGGTGCATGGACTGGACTTCCAGGAGGCAGTGGGACTAGGGGAACAGCCACCTTTCCCTCCCCTGGCAGAGGCACTAGTCTTTCCAGCAGTAGGAATAGTACCCAAAATGCAGATTTTCTCAGCAGGAGAGGGGCGCCCTGACCTGAGGTTTCAAAATGCACTGGCATACACCAGTGACTGGAGCACCAGCAGCAAAGACACTCACCCACAGCTTAGCCGCTGCCCCACAACGGTCATGGGTGGCACCTGTGACCTGAGGCTTCAGGAACAACAGCAGAAGCTGTGACCCAGCCCCCAGTGGCTGCATCAGCAGCAAGGGCTGCATATAAGACACTAGGCCCCTGCCACTGACAGTGACACCTGTCAACCCAGTGCCCTGTGAGCAGTGTTGCCAGCACCCCCAGACAACCTGGGAGATACAGTGCAAGTGGTGCACAGGGCAGCAGTACTCTAGCTCATGGAGAGCCTGCAGAGAGCCAGCGGAGGAACACAAGATCCAGGTGACCTTGGAAGCAGCAGGAGTGCTCACAGCCTGGTGATCCCAGTGGTGACACCTGACACTGCAGGACATCATAAGCAGAAAGCACCAGCAACCTCAGAGGCACAAGCAGCACAAGGAGAGCACTGATGATGCCTCTGGCAGAGGCAGTGGAAGATGAAAAGTGTAGGTTCACAAATACAACCAGAAGCAGCCCAGAACCAAAGTAACCAAAGCCATACCCAAATAAGAAATGTGGTGACTACCACAAATGTGCTGGCAAAGGAACAACACATCAAATACCATGAATAACTACAGTAACACAACAGAAAAGAAAGAAAATGACAACTCTCCAAAGACCAAGCTTGAAGTCACAGAAGATTACAATCTAACTGACAGAATTCAAAATAGCTGTCATAAAGGAACTCAATGAATTACAAGAAAACTCAGAGAGACAGTTCAATGAGCTCAGGAATAAATTAATGAATAGAAGAAGTACTTCACCAAAGAGGTTGCAACTCTAAAGAAAAAAAAACAAAAACAGAAATTCTGAAGATGAGGAACAGAATTAATAAGATGAAAAATAAAGCAGAAAACATTGAAAATAGAGCTGACCATATGGAGGAGAGAATTAATGAGCTGAAAGATAGAAATCTAGAAAGGATTCAGGTGGAAGAGGAGAGAGAACTAAAATTTAAAAAAAAAATGAGGAAATTCTACAAGAAATATTCAGATCAATTAGGAAAAGCAACATAAGGATAATAGGTATCCCAGAAGGGAAGAGAGGGAGAAAGGAGCAGAGAGCTTATTCAAAGAAATAATAGCTGAGAACTTCCCAAATCTGGGGAAGCAACTGGATATACAAGTATACGAAGCTGATAGAACTCCTAATTATCTCAACATAAAAAGACCTCTCTAAGGCATATTATGTTAAAACTGTCAAAGATCAATGACAGAGAATGAATATTAAGGTGGACAGGGAGAGGAAAATAACTTACAAAGGAACTCCCATCAGGCTAACAGCATATTTCTCAGCAGAAACTCTACAGGCTAGGAGAGAGGAGAATGATATATTCAAAATATTTAAGACAAAAACTATCAGCCAAGAATACTATCCAGGAAATTATCCTTCAGATAATAAGGAGAAATAAAAGCTTTCCAAAACAAATAAAAGCTGAGAGGGTTCATCATCATTAGACCTACCTTACAAGAAATGTTGAAAAGAGCCCTCTTACCTGAAAAAAAGGGTAAAGGTTTACAAAGCTTTGAGCAAGGTGATAAATAGACACAATCATCAAATTGCAAATCTAAATCAGAATAAGTTAGTAAACACTTAATTATAATATAAAGGCTAAAGGGAAAGAAAGCATCAAAAATAACTATAACCACTTCAATTTGGTCACAAACTCACAACACAAAAAAAGATAATTTATTGATCCTTCATATACTATGATAAAGTGGGATTTAGTCCAGGGATGGATGGATGGTTCAACATATACAAATCAATCAATGTGATACACCACATTAGTAAAAAGATTAAAAATCACATGATGATCTCAATAGACACAGAGAAAGCGTTTGACAAGATCCAGCATCCATTTATGATAAAAACTCTCAATAAAAAGGGTATAGAAGGAAAGCACCTCAACATAATAAAGGACATTTATAACAAACCCACAGCCAACATCATACTCAACAGTGAAAAACTGAAAGCTATATCTCTAAGAACAGGAACGAGACAAGGATGCCCATTGTCATCACTCTTATTTAACATAATATTGGAAGTCCTAGCCAGAGCAATTAGGCAAGAAAAAGAAAAGGGATCCAATTTGGAAAGGTAGAAGTAAAACTGTCACTGTTTGCAGATGACATGATTCTATATATAGAAAACCCTACAGAATCCACCAAAAAACTATTAGACATAATTAGCACATACAGTAAAGTTGCAGGGTACAAAATCAACATACAAAAATTAGTTGCGTTTCTATACACTAACAACAAACTAGTGGAAAGAGAAATCAAGAATGCAATCCTAACAAAAAGAATAAAGTGTCTAGTAATAAAATTAACCAAGGAAGTGAAAGACCTATACACTGAAAAGTATGACATTATTGAAAGAAATTGAAGAAGCCATAAAGAAATGGAAAGATATTCCATGCTCATGGATTAGAAGAATAAACATAGTTAAAATGTTCAAATTACCTAAAGCAATCTACAGATCCAGTGCAATCCCAATCAGAATCCAAAAGACATTTCTCGCAGAAATAGAACAAAGAATCCTAAAATTTATATGGAACAACAAAAGACTCTGAATAGCCAAAGCAATCCTGAGAAAAAAGAACAAAGCTGGACATATCATATGCTCTTATTTCAAAATATACTACAAAGCTATAGTAATCAAAACAGCATGGTACTGGCAGACAGACACACACACAGATCAATGGAACAGAACTGAGAGCCCAGAAATAAACCCACATATACGGACAGCTAATCTTCAACAAAGTAGCCAAGAACATACAATAGAGAAAGGAAAGTCTCTTCAATAAATGGTGCTGGGAAAACTGGACAGCCACATGCAAAAGAATGAAAGTAGATCATTATCTTACACTGTATAGAAAAAATAACTCAAAATGGATTAAATATTTGAATGTAAGACCTGAAACCATAAAACTTCTAGAAGAAAATAGAGGCAGTACACTCTGATGTCAGCCTTAGCAGTATCTTTTTGAATACCATGTGTCCTCAAGCAAGGGAATCTAAAGAAAAAAATAAACAAATGGTACTACATCAAACTAAAAATTTCTGCATGGCAAAGGAAGCCATTAACAAAACAAAAAGGCAACTCATGCATCAGGAAAAAATATTTGCAAATTGCATATCCAATAAGGGGTTAATTTCCAAAATATATAAAGAACTCACACAACTTAACAACAAAAAAATGAACAACCTGATCAAAAAATTGACAGAGGATATGAACAGACATTTTTCCAAGAAAGATATACAGATGGCCAACAGGCACATGAAAAGATGCTCAACATTACTAATTATTAGGAAAATGCAAATCAAAACTACAATGAAATATTATCTCACACCCTTGAGAATGGCTATTATTAAAAAGACAACAAATAACAAGCGTTGGAGAGGATGTGGAGAAAAAGGGAACTCTCATACACTACTGGTGGGAATGCAAACTGGTGCAGCCACTATATAAAACATATGGAGATTTATCAAAAAATTAAAAATAGAAACATCATATGATCTAGCTATTCCACTTCTGGGTATTTGTCCAAAGCACATGAAAATACTAATTGTAAAAGATATATGCACCCCTATGTTCATTGCAGCATTGTTCATAATAGCCAAGACTTGGAAGCAACCCATGTGCCCATCAATAGATGAATGGATAAAGAAGATGTGGAATATATATACAATGGAATACTATTCAGCCATAAAAAAGATGAAATTTTGCTACATTTACTACAACATTGATGGACTTTGAGGATATTATGCTAAGCAAAATAAGTCAGACAGAGAAAGACAAATACTGTATAATTTTACTCATATATGGAAGATAAATAAACACATAGATAAGGAGAATAGATTGGTGGTTACCAGAGTGGAAGGGGGTGGGGGAATGGCAAAAGGGGTAAAGTGGCACGTGTTTGGTGACTAATGGAAACTAGACTTTTGGTGGTGAACATGACGCAGTCTATACAGAAGCCTAAATATAATGATGTACATCTGAAATACACACAATGTTATAAACCAATGTGACCGCAATAAAATAATTTTTAAAAAAATTATAAATGTAAGTACCAATGTTAACAATGGGAATAACTACCTAAAATTAGAAATGCAACGTATAACCTCCAAACTGGTTGATGTAATTATATAAAACAAATAAATCTCGATCTAACCAAATCAAAAAAAAGTAAAAGATGAGAAAGATATATCATTATAACATTAATCAGAAGAAAGTTGGAGTAGCTATATTAATTTCAGATAAATCAGACTTCAAAATAGGAAAGTTATTATGCTTAAATGAAGCATTACATAATGATAAAGAGGTGAATTTTACCATGGACATAAAAATCCTAAACATGTCTTCACTTACCAACAGAACATTAAAATATGTGATATAAAAGTGATGGAACTGTAAAGAGAAGTGACAAATCCACCATTACAATTCGAGACTTTGACACAATTCTATCAGTAACTGACAGATCCACCAGGCAGAAAACCAGTAATAACATAGTTGACCTGAACAAGTCTATCAATCAACTTGATCTAGTTGACATTTTTAGAATACTCCATCCAACAACAGCAAAGAGCACATTCTTCTTAAGCTCACATGAAACATTCACCAAGATAGACCATATTCTAGGCCATAAAACATACCTTATCAAACTTAAAAGAATAGAAATAATATGAAGAATGTTCTTGGACCACAATGGCATTAAAGTAGGTAAAACAACAAAAATAGTTGGATAATCTCATATTTGGAGAGTAAATGATACATTTCTAAAATAGCACATGAATCAAGAAAGTCTGAAGGGAAATTAAAAAATACTTTCAACTTAGTGAAAATGAAAGTATAATTTATTGAAACTTGTGGGATTCAATGAAAGGCATGATTAGAGGAAAATTTAGACCACTAAATTCACATACGTATTAGACGAAAAAGATCTAAAATCAATAATCTATGCTTCCACTTTAGGAACCTGGAGAAAGAGTAATTTAAGCCAGAAGAAAGGAAAAGAAAAAAAAAGAAATAAAAATTAAAGCATAAAACAATGAAGTTGAAAACAGGAAAACAATAGAGAAAAAATGAAATCAAAAGTAAATTCTTTCGGTGGCCGGTCTGGTGGCGCAAGCGGTTAAGTGTGTGCACTCCGCTGCGGCGGCCCGGGTTTTGCCGGTTGGGATCCCGGGCGCGCATCGACGCACCCCATGCTGTGGCGGCGTCCCATATAAAGTGGAGGAAGATGGGCACGGATGTTAGCCCAGGGCCGGTCTTCCTCAGCAAAAAAAGAGGAGCATTGGCAGATGTTAGCACAGGGCTGATCTCACCAAAAAAAAAAAAAAGTAAGTTCTTTGAAAAGAGAAAAATATTAACAAACCTCTGGGCAGGAAAACTAAGGAAATAAGAGAAGACACAAATAAGCAATATCAGAAATTAAAGAGATCTTCACTACTGATACCATGGACATTCAAAGGAATATAAAGGAGTACTATGTACAATTATATGCCTACAAATTTAAAAACTTAAACCAAATGGACTAATTTCATGAAAGACACTGTCAAAACTCAGACAAAGAGAAATAATCTAAATAAACCTATATCTATTAA